TGGTGGTGGTTTTTTGTGATGGTAATGACGATGGTGACGATGAGAAAAATGATAAGATGACGACGACGATGATGAAGAAATCTTATAATGGTGACGAAAATGAATGTGATGCAATCTTATGCGGATTCTCTTTAAGGAGCAGTGAAAAAAATTTCTAAATGAAGCGCTATATGAATGTGTTTGTTTTTTTGTTCGTTCGTTCGTTCATTCGTTCGTACCTTTGTTTGTTCGTTCGTTCGTTTGTTTGACACCGGTTTTTTTATAATTTGTTTGCACTTTATTTCATTTTTATTTATTGTCATTTCAAAAAAAAAACGGTTAATACCTTTAATGACGTCATAACGTTGTTGTTGTTGTTGTTGCTATTGTTGTTGTCTATGACGTAGACGAGGATTCTATTTATAGGAATGTTCCTCTTCATTTTAGCTTTCATAATCAGCATTAAAAACATTTTAATCACCTAGATGCGTGGTTAAACGTGCTAGAAATATTTTCACTTTCAATACAGAGTACTACTACCGCTACTGCTGCTGCTGCCACTGTGGCTACTGCTTTTGCTGCTACTACTGCTGCTGCTGCTGCTGCTATTACTACTGCTGCTACTACTACTGCTGCTGCTTTTTGTACTGCTAATGTGTCATTAGTGCTGATAAGTATATGACTCTTAATGCTAATTTAACGTGAAACCGAATGTAAATACCAATAATAATAAGAGGAAGAAGAAGACTGTCGATATTAATGAATATAATAATAATAATAATAATAATAATAATAATAATAATAATAATAATAATAATAACAAATAATAACAATGATGATATTTATTACATAGAATTACTTGAAGAAAAAAAAAAAGATTAACTATCACATGCGCCTGTGATGATGAATGACTAAAATATCAAAGTGTGGCTTATGACGACCATACTTCATCTAAAATTATGATTATGATGGTGTTATTATTATTATTATTAGTAGTAGTAGTAGTAGTAGTTGTTGTTGTTGTTGATGTAGTAGTTGTAGTAGTAGTGGTTGTAGTTGTAGTATTAGTAGTAGTGGTTGCAGTTTTAGTAGTTGTAGTAGTAGTAGTGGTAGTAGTAATAGTTGTAGTAGTCGTAGTAGTAGTAGTGGTAGTAGTAGTAGTGGTAGTAGTAGTAGTAGTAGTGGTAGTAGTAGATGTAGTTGTAGAAATAGTGATTGCAGTACTTTATTGTTCAATTTCATCAAACTGAAACTTATGACTTCAAAGCTTATACGATAATGACGATGATGCTGCTGCTGTTGCTGATGATGATGTTGATTTTGCAGTAG